GTGACAGTGTGTGTGTGAGTGAGTGACTGTGTGTGTGTGTGAGTGAGTGACAGTGTGTGTGAGTGACTGTGTGTGTGTCGGACAGTGTGTGTGAGTGACAGTGTGTGTGTGTGTGAGTGACTGTGTGTGTGTGTGACAGTGTGTGTGTGTGTGAGTGACAATGTGTGTGTGTGAGTGACAGTGTGTGTGTGTGTGAGTGACTGTGTGTGTGTGAGTGACAGTGTGTGTGTGCTGAGAGACTTCAGTGCAGTAGGCCCAGGATGAGAGCTCATTTCCTAATGGATGTGGTGGTCCTTTCTCCCATTTTCCTTCGCACTCCCAAACAGTGTGAATTTCTGACCTGTTTTCAACTCCTTCGATGGTTTCCGGCAAAGGAGTGTTCCGTGTTTCGGGAAGGAGAAAGACAGCAAAGCCAGCGATTATAGCCACCCCAGCGTAAATGGTCGATGGCAGGAACGAGACATAGTCACCGCTCATCCTTACAATAGGAGCTATCATGGCCCCCACGCGAGCCATCGTGCTCACCAGCCCCATCCCCGTCTGCCTGCGTGGGATACGCAAGGAAACAGAGAGAGAGAGAAAGAGAGAGAGATGATTATGGTTGGTTTCACCTTGTACCAATTTTTCCAACACCCCTCCATCCTCTGAAGAGGCTGGCTCTGCCTTCCTTCCCTGTTATTAGCTATAGCTCTGACTGACACTGCAGTCTGATACATGCCCCTTACTGTAACGTACCCACAGCACAACGCCCTCGCGCATCTCGTTGTGACACACAGTTGCGTTCTGTCATTCATTGTGGTTTCGGAAGAGCTCACGATCTTAATTAGGACTTTCTGATAAAGTCGGCATCCTTCCCCATCCCAACAGGCTCTGAAGGTAAATTATGCCCGCCCCTTGCAACGAATTTAATCCAGCTCGCGGCTCAGTTGGTTTGCACGGCAGTGATGCCAACAGTACGGCTTCAGTTCCTTACAGCTGAGGCCATCATTAAGGGCTGTCCTTCTCAACCTTTTCTCTCGCCCGAGCTGCGGTGACCCCCAGGTTAAACCACCACCAGTTGTCTCTGTCTAATGAGCGAACAGGACCATAGAGATGTACAGCCTGGAAACAGACCCTTCACTCCAACAGGTCCATGCTGACCTGTTATCCTAAATTAATCCAGTCCCATTTGCCAGCATTTGGCCCATATCCTTCTAAACCCTTCCTATTCATGTGCCCCTCCAGATGCTTTTTAAATGTTGTCATTATACCAGCTTCCACCACTTCCTCTGGCAGCTCATTCTATACACGCACCACCCTCTGTGTGAAAAAGTTGCCCCTCAAGTCCCTTTTAAACCTCTCCCCTCTCACCTTAAACCTATACCCTCTAGTTTTGGATACACACACATACACACACACACACACACACAGGCGCACGCACACACACACATACGCACACACATACATACACACACACTCACACGATCACATACATATACATACACATACATGTACACATACACACACACATGCACACATATACAAACACATGTACACATAGACACACACACATGCACACATACACACGTGCACACACACACGCACACATACACACACACACACGCACACTCAAACGATCACATACATATATGTACACACACACGTACACATTGACACACACACGCACACATACACACACACATACACGTACACTCAAACGATCACATACATATACATACACACACGTACACATAGACACACACGCACACACACACACACACACATACACGTGCACTCACACGATCACATACATATACATACACACATGTACACATATACACACACACATGTACACATAGACACACACACGCATGCACACATACACACACACACCTGCACACACACACACACACTCTCCCCAAGGGTCCTTGCAGTCACCTGCTTTCTAACAAACGCTGGTTTGGAACTATGGCTCCAGAAAGACTGACACAATCAATTCTTTTCATAAAGAAACGATCAACACCCATATGCCACTAATTTGAAATCCAAACACTAAAACATTGATATTCATATGTATATAAACCAAACATTTTTAATCACGTAAGTCAGTAGAAAAAAAAACTGAGCATTCAGGCAATTTTACTTATTGTGCTTCAGAATGACCCAAGTGGTTTTGACTGTTTGGATTAGCTGTGATGAATTAATTCTGTAGGAAGTATATCTGATATGTCCATGTTCAGTTTTTGATGGGCCCCTAATGTATAATTCTGATGTTTATAAATGAGGGCAATTTGGGGTGGTCTAAATGCGTCCCATTAATGAATATTTTAAAAAGATATTGACCTTGTTCAAATACATCAGCTCCAGTTCAGAACATATGTACTCACCTGATCATTGTTGGGTAGAGTTCACCTGAATAGAGATAGCAACAGCTGAAAGCTGCAGCGAGACACCCTTTCCCAATAGCAGCAAATGATGTGCGTAAGGTCTTTAACTCTGTCGGAAAAATGGAGCGGTCAAGATTTTAATTACTTTGAACAAATTCATTCAGGGATGAAAAATTGCCTGTTAGAGTGGGACTTATTACTTTAATGTTATTAAGTGGTGTATTAACAGTGCAAACTCTTAATAGAATCTAAAATAGAATCCTTTCTGTCTCTAAATATCCACTAATTGCTTTCAGGATAGAGACATACAGCACGGGAAACAGACCCTTTGGTTCAAACAGTCCGTGCCAACCATAATCCCAAACTAAACTAGTCCCACCTGCCTGCTCCTGGCCCATATCCCTACAAACCTTTCACTTTTCACATGCTTATCCAAATGTCTTTTAAATGTTGTAGCTGTACCCCCATCTACCACTTCCTCTGGAAGCTCATTCCACAAGCGAACCACCCTCTGTGTAAAAAATTTGCCCCTCATGCCTTTTTTAAATCTCTCTCCTCTCGCCTTAAAAATATGAAATCCCTCACCTTAAGGGAAAAGACACCTATCATTCACCCTATCTATACCCCTCATGATTTTATAAACCTCTATACGGTCACCTCTCAACCTTCTACGCTCCAGTGAAAAAAGTCCCAGCCTATCCAGTCTCTCCTTATAACTGAAACCCTCCATTCCTGGCAACATCCTGGTAAATCTCTTCTGAACCCTCTCCAGCTTAATAATATCCTTCCTATAACAGGGTGACCAGAACTGCACACAGAACTCCAGAAGGGGCCTCACCAACGTCCTGTATAACCGTAACATGACGTCTCAACTCCTATACTCAAAGTTCTGAGTAATAAAGGTGAGCGTGCTAAACTCTTTCTAATACTGGGGCAGCTTCAAATGAACGTTGATCGAAATATGATCTGATCAAAGTTTCCATGCATCTTTTTAGTTGCGATCTGTTGTAACATTTGAGTTAATTTTATTTGATTTATTATTGTCACATGTACCGAAGGCAAGCGTGCCAAATGCCTTTGGGCTATGGAGCAGGCATAGTTGATCGTGCAGAGCTAAGATAGTTTTTTTTTTGCTTAATAATTTTTGTGTTAACCCTGCTGAAAATTTCCCGCTTTAGTTTAAAATGGAGCTGTAACTCTAGCACAGTATAGCCCTCAGGCTGGATCATTACGGGGAGGCGATGGCCTAGTGGTATTATCGCTGGCCCATTAATCCAGAAATCCAGATAACATTCTGGGAACTTGGGTTCGAATCCCACCACGGCAGATGGTGGAATTTGAATTCAATAAATTATCTGGAATTAAGAATCTAATGATGACCGTGAATCCATTGTTGATTGTCAGGAAAAACCCATCTGGTTCACTAATGTCCTTTAGGGAAGGAAACTGCCTTCCTTACCTGGTCTGGCCTACTTGTGACTCCAGACCCTTGACTCTTAACTGCCCTCTGGGCAATTAGGGATGGGCAATAAATGCTGCCTGGCCAGTGATACCCCCCTGCCGTTAATGAATAAAGGGGAAAAAAATTATATAAAAGTATTACACAGGACTGAGCTCAAATCTACAAATCACAGGGTTGAGTCATTCTGTCCAGCACAAAACACAGGACATGAAGCAAATCACAAACCACAGGACTGGGTCTTAAAAACTGGGTAATTAGGCCTAACATAGTGTACCTTCCTGGAATGGTGAGTTCCACTCAATGTGCCAGGTCCTAATAGAGGAAACTATAATTTACAAAGCTGGGATTTATAAAACAAATGGCTAAGATATAGGATGTATAACAAGGTTGAACACTTAAAGGGTAAACTAGACTTCATAGCATATATTTCCTTGGCTATGCAAAGTTCTTTAGGGCTCTAAAATGTTATCCGTATTCAGGATAACTCTTAACATGCAGTTTGTGTTTTATATCTGAAATGAATGGGTTACAAAACCCCTACATTGTGGAAAGAGGCCCTTCAGCCCGTTGAGTCTGCACTGACTCTCCGAAGAGCATCACATTCCCAAAACGTCAGCTTTCCTGCTCCTCTGATGCTGCTTGGCCTGCTGTGTTCATCCAGCTCTACACCTTGTTATCTCAGGTTCCAGACCCAACCTGACTCCTTAGCCCTGCAGAGATAGCAGGAACTGCAGATGCTGGAGAATCTGAGATAAC